CCCCCAAAAAAAAACCCAAACTCTCCAAAAAAACCCAAAACGCCCCAAAATCGCCTCATCCCCCTCCCGGCCCCCCTTTCCCGCCGTTTTGCCCTCAGTTAAGATGGCGGCGCCCCCGCCTCACCTTTTCCAAGATGGCGGCCGCGATGCCACGCGTCCGCGCGCTGCCAGGCTGCCCTCACTAAAGATGGCGCTCGCTTTCCCATGCTAACCAATAGCGCTGAAGCCAAMGCGGAGTAACCCGGATATAGCCGCCATGTTGCCCTCACCCGACATGGCGCCGCCTTTCCCGTGTTTCCCTATGGGCGTGAAGCCACGACGAGCGCGCGGTGCCCGAACGTGGGCGCGGTTCGGCGTGTGGGCGTGGCCTCGCCCTGCCGGAAGTTGCGTCAGGGCGGAGCCGCCCGCGGGGAGCGGGGAGCGGAGCGGACGGAGCCAAGATGGCGGCGCCGGGGCTGGGCCGGCCCTGAGGGGCCGTGAGGGGCCGGGAGGGGCCCCCGCGCACGGCGGGCTGGGACGGGCCGCAGGGGGGGCCCCGCCGCTCCCCCCGCCGCTCCTCGCGACGCTGCCGCCGCCGGATCCTTCCCGGGGCCTGACCGGAGCCTCCCCGGGGGAGGAGCGGGGCCTGCTCGGAGCCTTTCGCGGCCTTACCGGAGCCTCCCCGCCGCCTTTTGGGGCTCGGCGGGGCCGTTTGGGGTCTCCCCGGGGCTTGGCGGGGCCGGCTGGGGCCTTACCGGAGCCTCCCCGGGGCCTGACCGGAGCCTTTCGGGGTCGAACCGGGCCCTTACCGAGGCCTCCGGGGCTGAACCGGGGCCGTTTGGGGCCTCCCCGGGGCCTTTTGGGGTCTCCCCGGGGCCTTTTGGGGTCGAACCGGAGCCCCCGGGGGCGAACCGAGGCCTTTTTGGGCTTTACCGGGCCCTATTTGGGGTTTTACCGGGGCCTCCCGGGGCTTTAAAGGCCTTGAACGGGAGGAACCCCGTGACAACCCACCTTTATTTCGTAATTTTGGGTCAAAAAACCGCGACAGAATCGGCGTTTTTCGTTAATTTTTTTTTGTA